AGGTGAAGGGAGAAGAGGTAACAATATATATGACAAGATAGCTGAACTATTACCAACAACTGAATCTCTGATTATTCCGACAGACACAAGAGCAGCTTTTGCCTTCAGCATGAAATCTTCAATTGTCTCAGGTTTTTCTAATGAACATCCTGGTGGAATAATGGGTAGGCTTTCCTAGTAATTCAATCAATATCATTGTAAGCATTTCTTTAAGTATATGATTGGGATAATTTCATTAATGACAGTATTAACAGAAAAGCACCTGTTCCATGATTCCTCTATATAACATCATCAGCGCCTTCTTCCCGTACGCACTATCATAATTATAAGCACTGAGAGATGGTCCAGCCCTGCAATGCACAATGCTCCAAAGCTAACATGGCTAAACAAGGGATATAAAATAACTGTGAAAGAGCTTCATCAATCTTGATAGCACCCATTCTATACTAAAAGTTACCTACGGTCCCCCTGCGTTAATGCACCAAGAGATTCAAGCCTCTTGGCAACAATGGAAGCAAACCGGCGTTCGCCACCAAGATTTGTGAAAAGCAGCCTGTGACACATAAAATATATAATATTTAATCGGGTTTCAACTGGCCTCTCATCATTAACTTATGAGCTGTAAATTGGCATGCCACAAAAAAATCATTCATACAAATGATGATTTCGAAGTACCAAGCCCATGGGCAACCATAATACTGCACACTTTAATGGTAGATATCCAATCCAATTTCCAGGCAACAATTTAAATTATGAAACTTCTTGCTTCTTTGTCAGGAGGGAATTATAACAGATTTCCACAATTCAAACTAATTAATATGCAAACCTCATTTTGAAACTCATAATTATTTTCTGCGGCATGTTCAATTTGGTCTCAACATGCTGAATTTCGTAAACTTGTCTTAAAAACTTAGAAGAGGCATTTTCATAACTTGAAGTATCATACACTTACTGAACAATGGTGGTACACACTGTTATAACAGTTTCCATTTAAGCCTAATCAAGTCAACAGTGACTCATAATCACCTATACTCAGGTGCTGAAGCTTGGTTTGATCGGTGAGTTCTTCCGAACTGTTGAATTGCTCGGTCTGCACTCCAAGGTAGTTCTAGAGTTATGTGAACTCTTCTTTTCTGTGGAGACATAAAATTCCAACTCCAATGCATGAAAATTATGATATAGAGGAGAATAAAACATGATTCCAAAGCACCTACAGGAAACAAATTCAAGCATAAAGATGATCACCTGATTGACGGCTCTTCTATCTGATTGCAAAGAAACACCAGCAGACCCAGCCTCTGAAATGATAGCTACAAGTTTTTTACCATCCATGAATAGCTGCTTTTCATGCATATTGACCATTTCCATGGTCACGTCTTTCCTATAGAGAAAAGTACAAGGATAAGTAAGCTAGAAACAATTAGAAATGAGTGAACTGATATATATCTACACTCACGTGTTTCGAGCCTGATATGTTACACCTTTTCCTCCAGAAGCTCTAACAAGCATGCCTCGCCTCCCTGTTATTTCTGCTACTTCATCCGGGCCTCCAAGCTGCATCAAACAAACAAAGTCAATTTATAAAACTGCCCTTGACTACATTACAACAATAAAATTGCTGGTTATAAAATACTCATGATATTACCTGATCGATAATATCATCCAATGGATTATTAGGAAGATCCAACGAGCGTATTATTTCTAAAATTTTCAATTTGCGTTCCAATGCTGCTTCATATCTAATCAGGTTTCAAAGTCTACTAATTAGCTAACATGAACAACATAAAAAATCAGATAAAATGGATAACTATTGCACAAGTAAAATATGTTAAAGAAAGCAAAGTTAGCTAATTTTGTACATCTCTCACCTTTTCAAAAGTTCTTCATAATAAGCTTGTCTAGCTCGGAGATATTCCTCCGTTTTCTCCTTGCACGACGGACAAGACCAATCCCCAGATATTACTTCTTCAACTGGCGGTACAACACATGCCGGATGAACAAGCTGACTGCAGCAAGAACACTGAAGCAACTTCTTCTTTTCCTACACCAGAAAGTTAAGAAAAAAGATTTAGACGAGAAAAAATATGATAACCTTCCATAACATCTAAGTAACAGGAATATGTAAAAAAAAAAATATACCTCTTCTCCATTGCATACATTGCAGATCTGAAACTCATCATCAGATTCAGTATCAGGTTCAGTGTCAGCTGCATTTACCAAAAAGCCCATTAGCCATGAAAAAACAGAAACAGTTAAAGTTAAATCTACGCGCAGCTGAAAGATAAAACAATTAAAAATGCCAAGTACTAAAACCCAATCTACTGTCAGAAGACAATATGGAGTAATAAAATGATCAGTTCAGTTAATAAGTGGAGACAATAGAGTTGCATATTCGGCGGGGAACAAGTTGTAAACAGTTCACAATTTTGGAATCTCACCTTTTAATTAAATTACAGCACATTTCATTTTTAATTCTTAATTTGAGACCTTAATTATAATGCTTTTCTCAAATAAGGCTCATAGTACACTCCTAATCCATATAAATTACTTCAACTGAAAAGTGAAAACAACAATTTGGCACTAATTTACAGAAACAACAAAAATTCAAGCCCTTAATTGAAAAATTAAGTGAAGCCAAATAATAATTCATCCTTCATTGAAATGTTTGTGTGGAGATACAAGGAAGCTGTGTATTTCCATACACAAAGTTAAAGTTTCTACAAAGGACAACAGTTAAAAAGACATAGGAATTGCTCTCAGTCCATTCTTTTACTCAAAGGTCTCATATATTCAAGCGCTGGCAACATTAAGATAATCATGAATTCTGAAAAGATAAACTTCAGATTATGATAAAAATAAGATTGTATGAATCAAAAACTACAATGAGGCATTGGTAACTGGTTAACAGGAAAAAAATGATTCAGGAAGCAAGATAAGCAAATCGTGGGTAATAACTGAATGGGGATTAAGAGGATGCAGCAATCATATTTTGTAATGCAAAAATGTCAATATTATGAAACTAGAAATGCTGGTCTCCATTATTTAAGACATATCACAGGACAATTCTTAAATTACTTTCAGACTCCCACTCGTCTTCTTCTTCACTTTCCTCATCCCATTTAGCAACTTTCCTCACTCTCCCGGCAAACGAAACGTCGGATGTGGCAGCTTCCCTCTTTCTATGAATCTCTCTTACACTCTCGTCCTCTACGCATAGAAAACATAGTTAATACATCATCATCAAAGAAATAGTACAACAATTCACCATATACAATAATAAATACCTGGGGGTGGCTCAGGCATATCTGGAAGGGGATAATTTTCCTCAACAAGTTTTAGCAATAACTCGCGAGGCCCAGAGACAAAATCATCAAGCTCCACACCCTATCTCAGTAAAATGAGAAGTTCAGGAAGTTATCAGTGTTATCTTAACAAAAATATTCCAGCAGTATGCATGAGGAAGAGCCGAGCCAAAACGGGAGAGGTTGGGATGTGGCAGATCTATTTTCTTCCATCTTTAAACATATTAAGCGTCGATAATGGTCTTGTTTGCTAAACAATGTTTTGTGACCAAAATAAAAGTTTTGCCTGGTCAAAACCTCTAATTTGAGTGTTTGATAAACAGATTATTCCATTAGCTAATTGAGTCCAAAATTTTAATTTGGAAAAAGTTGGGCAAACCAACTTTTTTAGACGAGAGAATTGTGAAAAGAGATGATTGAATATCAGATTTTCCATATATATAGAAGGCAATAGTAATAACAATCACGTATCTTGTTTGCCCCATTTTTTGTTTCTTGTATTAAAAATCACAAACCTAGTGGAAAAAGAAAAATCTCTTTCCTTTTTCCTTTTTAGCTATTCTTTTCTTCATCTAATTATCAGTACTCTTTTTTTAATAAGTTGCACCATCATTTTTCTAAGTGTTTGGAACTTTTAAATTTTTAGGAGATTTTTTATCCTAGTTTCTTTGTTTATTTGCTTATGCTCCCAAAAATATGATATATTTATCACTAATTCATATAAAAATTATAGAAGTTATTTATAGAGTAACTTACTAAATTTAAGTAATAACCAAATAAATTTACAATACATTTTTCAGATAATAAATATCTTTTGTATGAGTAAATGTTATAATACATATTTTTCAAAATCACCACATATATCAATATTGTTAGCAAAAGTACAATATAGTTCGATAACTTACAACAATATTTTTATTAGTCGTTTTTACATTAAGTAGCTACTCCAGCTAACAGTTGTTTACCAAACAATATACAAAATGCCAATCCAACCATTTAGTCACACTAGTTAATCAAATAAGTTATCAGCTATCCACTAATTGTGTGTATGTATATATATTATGTAATCAATATAAAAAAATATCCATAATTTATATTTATCAATTCTCAAAAAGGCTTACATATTTTGACACAGCTTCCTCGGTTCTTGCTTCTCCTGTGCTCTGGAGGCCTATGACCACACATTTGTTTTCCACCAACGCTTCTTTAGAAAGTCTAATCACTGCAGGCACTTTAGCTGACATGCACATGTGTCTAAAGAAGCGCTAAATAGTGCATCAAAAGACCAAACGTGTAGTAAAAGTGAGACAGAGAAAATAAGGTTGAAAGATTCCAGCTACAATTTAAAACTACTGAACCTGATGGCTGGCCCAGTACAATCTCCATAGCTGACTTGAACTAGGCTTCTCCTCGGCGTAATACATGCTAGCAGATAGCAGTTCCATTCTTAACTCAGCCCAAAATTCAGCAGCTTTTCCATACATATCCTGAGAACAACCAAAAAAAAAGACTTAATGTGGAGGTTATTTTAGAACCTTCGCAGGCACAAAGAGAAGTATGAAACTACCAAGAAGAAAAGCTGATTGCACTTGCGACCTATTAAAGTTGAAGAAAAGCATGATAACTAATACTATCAGGATATATCAATCAGATACATCTGCAGAAGCCCAAAGCCTTCCTCGTCAACGCCAACTTTGACAGAATAAAGTCCTTTAATACAAGCCAATGCAAAGAGAGTCCTCAAGTTAGACTGCCAACTGAGGCTAAAGCAAAGTGTTCCATTCAAATGAAAACTTCTCTATTAGGATTTCTGACCAATATGGTCAAATTCCTAAATTATCAATTTCATTTATAACGAAATGCATCATTTCTTTAAAGGCCAATGTTAAGAACTGATCCGGACGGCACATCTGATAAATGACTTCTAGGACAACAGATATTAGTACAACATAAGAATGTATACACAAAAATTTTATCATATTCTACCAGTGTTAAAGGATTTAATACTCTCACAATGCGAGCAGCACAAGTGGAGAGATTAGGGGAGCGAATTGGATACATAATAATAATAATAATAATAATAATAATAATAATAATAATAATAATAATAATAATAATAATAATAATAATAATAATAATAATAATAATAATAATAATGGTGAAAGTATTGTTCTCAAAAGTTGTGATTGGATACAAACTTTCTAGAAAATACACGATTCACTCATCACTTTTTCCTCCTCAAAGTGATACAATCAATACAAATTAAAAGTAAAAAATCAATCATATGACGCACTTTCCAATAAAAGTTTTTGTAACCCACTAGCATATTTCTAACTACCAATCAGTATTTTGTGGGGTTTAAATAACATCAACTTTTCTATATCCATTTACATTCTTAAAAAATATTCATTCTTCCTCCAAAACATTCGGATTGCAATTGGGATATCAAAGAAAAATCATTTACATCTCAGTAAAGAAAATATTCTAAAAAACTATACCATTTACCAATCTCATTTGTTCTCACCTCAATTTAAAAATCAAACCGTACTAAAATTTACAACAAAATTTATTTTTCATCAATTCATATATTTCTAAATAGCAATTACCACTTATTATTTAACTATTTTTCATCTTAGCTTAATCGTAGTCCACATTATTTTTTTCACCAAGTTTTTTCAAAACTTTCTCCTGGTGGAAGAAAAAATTTCAATGAATGCCCATCCAGTTGCACTATTCTCAAGCGAGAAAAAAAAAAAAAAAAAATCACACCCTAAATTTGTAAGAGAAAATGCATAAGACTTTAGGTTATGGAGTTACGAATCCTTTCCTGGAAGCAAGACAAGAAAGAGAAATCACACCATACCATCATGTCTGCTTCCAGCTGAACTTCAACAACTTCAAATTCTGCACCTTTATAGCTCAGTGTTCGACAAACATACATCCCCCTACACATTAGAAGATTTAATTTCAATTTATTATACAATAATTTGCAGATTTTACTCCCCTCGGATCTGAGCCACAGACCTTGCTTTCATGTCCATTGCAACCAGCTCAAGGGCTCCAACACCCCCTTTATCCATGGCAACTGCAAAAAACCAACAAAAAGGGGTCGATAACCATGTAAGAAACTATTCTACCGAGTAAAATAGTACGAGATTAGAGATAGATTATAAATGAGACAACCTCTACATTTTGAAGTGAATCTATCAAACAAGAGGTAAAACGCCTACCTTATAAATCAAAATTAGAGTCCTCAATGCCTAATAATGATTAATGACACATCACATGTCTTTAGAAGTCAGAGAAGTGCTTTGACTGACCATGAATGCAAAAGTAGAGGAATATGGAATAACAAAGAGCAAATTAGAATGAAACACATTGTATACACTACATCTAATATATTATTCCCTCCAAATGCAAAAAAAAAAGGTATGTTTTTTCCTCATTGCAAATGGTCTTTCAAAGACGGATGATGCACTGTCGAGAAGAGAGTGGAACTTTAAATTGGAGAAATGAAAAAGAAAATGTGGAGCATGTTGAGTTACAAAAGTAGAGCGTAGTGAATAACTAGTCGATTGATAAGAATGTGTCACGTCCTATCCATGTTTTAAGGCAAAGTTATGACTACGATAAAAGATACATATTGAAATTTTCAGAGACCGTATAAAAATTAAGTTAGGCAGGCCCTAGAATGCATCAGAGATATTGCACCTAAAAATTTGTCGAAGTTTGTAAAAGAAGTTCCGGGTCCCCAAAGACCAAGGCGAACCATATAGCCCATATTACGCGGTTCGGAGGCACCAGTTGCAGAGCAATACATGATGCGCGCTTCAGGAAGTCTGGCCTGCAGTACAGAAAATTTTTTTAAAAAAAAAGAGAGAAAAAAAAAAAGAAAAATATCCTCTTAAGACATGTAAACAATTCTCCGTAAAAATATTATATCTAAAGCATAGCAACTGCAAATGAAAAGGAAAAAATTGTTCATGTACGAGCACAAAAAATCACAGCTGACGGCAATGACTGCCACTAACTACACAATTTATTTTCAGCAATCACAGTCAACAGCACTCAACAGCACAGGGGTACCAGACAAAGCAACAAAGAAAATACATACAACAAACAAAATGATTCAGGAAACTTAAATAAACTAATATGGTAGTAACAGAAAACGATAAGACAGAAGAAGTCCTAGACAGGAGAAAGTTGAAGTTTTATAATATAAAATTCTTTGACATGTCCAATTGAGTGAGAATTCTGAGAATGAAGGACAAGAAGAGATAAATTACAGAATGCCGAGAATGTCTCCACAACATTTAAACTGAGCACAAGAAAAATAACTGATTATTGGTAACCTAACATCTAAACTGGTGCAAAAACTTGCTCTAGACAGTTTTATGATCAAGATTCTACACATCTTATCTTATTACTCACAAAGAAGAAGTATCTAGTCAATACAAATCTCAAACACAACCTAAACTTCTCACAGATATTGCAACATTTCATTGGTGTCAATAGTGCATCTCTGTACAGCCTAGATCTTCCTTTTCCCACTAGAATGGTTACCTTCATCGTATGGATATAGAGCACCGTTTAAGAAGCCTTGCTACTAAAATTAGGATTATCTTTATTCAATCCTAACAGATCTCAGCCAAATTAACATAATATCTCCAGAACCAGCTTATGTTAGCTTATAGACTCCATGACAGAGAGATCGTATCCGGTTGCTTTCCACCTCCATTGAAATGATGCACAAGCTAATATAACTACAATAATTGAATACATTTTATTCTAAATGCTAATACCAAATCTGACCAACTTAATTCATTAATAACCAGTAATTCCCTGCTTTAAAAATCCAAATAAAGAAAATTAACCTATTAATGAAAGAAAAATGAGTGAAAAATTGTACCAATTATTGTTCACAGAAGTAAATGGTCGCATCATACTTATAGAAGCAATGCATAACAAAATTGCTGAGACCCAAAGAATAGCGATTTAGAAAGAGCAAGAATGTGTAGAAAAACCATGCATATGATTTGCCTATCGCTCTTAATTGAAGTTAACTAATAGCATCAAGAATTTCCCATGAATGTCTAAAGTATAGAAGTGAAGCTTAAAGAGAACATGTAAAGGAGTGTCACCTGAATATCAAGCACAGCTTCTCCTGTCTTTGTCGGCTGCCCTCCTGACTCGGGAACAAGATTTTTTGCTTTATGACACTACAATACAATTCATATAAGGTTTTAAAATTGTTCTTGGTACAGGGCACCAATCATTTGTATCATAATATCATATTTCAGTCTTTGTCAATATAGAAGCCCTAAGATACATTAATTTCAAAATAACCTACTTCATCAAATACAATGAGTCCGTCAAACTGTCCACCACACCATTGTACTAGCTGCTGTAATCGTGAGCGGCCCTTCTCAGAAGATGCAATGAGGCTGCTGTAAGTCAAGAAAACAACCCCCTCCCTAATGCCAACAGACTTTGAATCAAGCTTAGAGTAAGGAAGCTTGTTCAAAGCATGCACTACAAAGCAATTGAAAACAAATCCAGTTGAATGTCAGTGCCATAGGAGCTCTAACATAAGGTTAAATTCAGTAAGTCAGGTTAATCCAAAAAAATGGAGGACTATTAACTCTTGGAACAAAACATCACCCATTTATAAAGATAAATAAAGTATTGAAGCACTCAAGGGGAGAACAAATTGCATCACAAAACTTAAATGTTTTTAATATCAAAGTCATTAGGAGTGTTATTGGATATGAATTTAATCAATTTTTTATTAGTTTGTTTGTTAATCATAGTTAATTTTGAAAAATGTGGTATAGTTAGTTGTTAGTGGGAGTTTAAGTTTATATTCAAATAATATTAAAATAACATAATTAAAGTTGATTTGATGTAAAAGTAGGATGTGATGTATAAAGATGATTGATTAGTATTATTTAATTATACGGATAAAAGTTTGGGTTAAATTTGAGTTTTGATTGGTTTTTTACTAGACGAATTTGCATCCAATCACACCCTAGGCGATCCAGCATCCAATTGCCCAACAGCTCCTCTAAATAATAATAAAGTTCTAGTTCTAACAAAATGCAGATAAAGTCATTGATCATAAGCTCAAGCTAAAGGTACCTTCTATGCATGACGCACCAACATCGTCCAAGTCTCTTCTAGCATCGAATTTCAAGTCTGACCCAACAGAAATCCACCTACATTATAACATTAAAAAAGTTATATAAGAAAATAAAAATACACTGTCACACACCTAATACTACAGGAACTAGTAAATAAGAGAGACCCCTTGCCTATACAAATGCATCTGTCAATGAACACTTACACTGCTTTTCTTCTTCCATGATGCCAGTTCTCCCATATTAAACCAGCAATCGTCCTTCCTTTACCGACACCTGCACCATCTCCAAGAAAAAAACCTGCTCTAGCACCACTTGGAAGGTGCTGAAGGTGTCTCTGTCATGACAAACCAATGTTACAAAGGATGATATCTGAACTCTTCAGAAAAACGTAGCAAAATTTCACAAAAGCCACCTGACAAGCATAGACCAATGTTTCAATTTGCAGGCATGACAATGCCTCTGAATTTTCTAGGTCATCCTTAATCTTTAGATCATAAGTAGGTTCAGGAGGTTGTACAGCTGATAAGGATGATGTCTCAACAACATGATCTGGATGCAGTGGACCGATGGAAAGTTTAGAAGGTCGCTGCACAAAGCATTCGATATTTTATATGAGGAAATCTACTTTAAAACACATATCTTCATATAAGGGCACAGGAAAACATACATAATCCATAAATGTTTCTCCAGCCAAGCCACCTTCATCTTCCTCCCGCTCAACATCAATGGCTGCCTGACATGAGTAGGAAAAACCAATAATTAGCAATTCTCTTAACAAAGAGCTCTAACAGAAACTAAATAACAAAAAGGAGAGGTACAAAAGAGGGAAAAGTTGCAATATGCAAATAGCTGAATTAATATTTATATTATAGTATTTGAAAGAAGATTCCATGACTCAGAATCATTTGTTGGAATAAAACAGAAGTAAGTGTCAAGGGATCTTGTGCCCACGGTCTATGCGATAAAATCAAATAGTCAGCCAACACAAGGTACAACTACTCGAAAGCACATTATATAGTCATATTCTATAAATAGATTAAATGTTTATAAATAATATCAAATTAAACAAAACAATAGCAAAACACCAAATCAATCAGAAGCATAAACACTGCACCAGCTAGAATAGTCAAAACATCTACACGATCGTATTACGATGGATTTACGGCACCTATCACCTCTCAGAAGGCAGAAACCAGATGATAAAACCACGACTGCAGCGCAAGTGAGGCCCTAAAGTTTAATAAACAAAACTTACATCTACAGTTGTCTAACAAAAGGACTGAGTGAACGGGGAGTGAAGATCCAATAATATAATAAAACAATCCAACTAAGCCATGATTAAAGTACATTGTTAAAGTTTTGATAGTATAAACAAGGTCATAGAACATTCCAATTTCATAATCATAATCATATTCTTAATACCTCCAAAAGCATCATAATTTCAAGGAAACTGAGAAATAGAACAACTAAATATCAGTCAGTGTTATGAAATGGCGGCCATGGCGTTACGGTGTGACGGATTTTTGACAAACCACCATGCCAAATTGTGAAGGATGGCGGTTATGGCGCAGCCACGGCGGCCGCTATGGCAAACAGCAATTTACCGCCATATGCCATCCCATTAATAACACTCAAACACTGACATCAGCCATGCATAAACCGCCAATGCCCATATGGTAATAATGTTTATCTAACAATCATGATGGAGCTTCATGCCAGACAATAAATATACTGTCTAACAAATACAATCATTCCAAAAAAAAAAAAAATGATAAACT